CTCCTTTACTGTGTTGATTCCCTTTATATATTTAAATGTTTCTATCATATCCCCCCTGTCTTGTCTTTCCTCCAAGCTATACATGTTAAGATCCTTTAACCTTTCCTGGCAAGTTTTATCCCGCAATCCATGAACCAGTTTAGTAGCCCTTCTCTGAGCCCTCTCTAGGGTATCAATATCCTTCTGAAGATACTGTTAAGACACCTCCTGTGTCTTTAGGTAAAACCGCCGTTTAGTAGATCTTCCCCGTCTGCAGTAACAGCCTCTGTTCGCTTAACCTGTAGTGCACGAACCAAATGCAGGGGAAGCGGCAATCTCCCGACCGAGCTCTGTGAACGGCTCCAAACTCCCGAACGGCAATACACGAACTGCTGCCAGCCGCCGAACAACAATATTCACCAAGCGGCTTCCGTTCCATCCAGCAGTCTCTAAACGTGAAGAAGAAATCCCCCCAATAACGAGACAGAAGCTCCGCATTGAGGGTCAAACAGGATCTGGCTTTACTGTGGGCTACCTGCCCGTATTTATGCAGGTCTCCCACCTGGTGGACACTCCCCTAGGGGACCAAATGGGAGACTTAAATGACAGACAGATAGGGGGACATTTCAGACACACAGTCACAGATTTTACCCACAGTGCATTATGATTCCCTCCCCTCTGCCCTGGAGTTAATTACCAAGTAACTCAATTAACTCCAGGACAAAGCCAGTCGCCATCTTAGACATAAAATAATAAAAGACATAAAAATATATAACTACACAAAAACCGAACATTTCCCATTCGTATTACATGTCCCCAGATAGCCTGGATCTGAGTGCATATTATTAGCGAATAGCGCTCAGATCCCACACACATAGTTCAATCGCCATGGAGTCAAAGTTCTTACAGTCTTTCGGTATACGAATGACTCCATGGGAAGGCTATCTGGGTTAAGTCTTTTCGTATGCTCCAAATCTCCCGAACGGCCGGTGTTCGTATGCTTTCGTGGAGGCAGCCAGGCGTTCCGTTGTTTCAGCGGTGTTCGGCAGAAAAAGTGTCCGTTTTTAGTTCCATAGAAATAGAGCCAAACACCGCTGGGCTTTCGCTTGGTTTAAAATGGCCGCTGCCTCGTGGTCGACATACGAACGACGACCACCCTGAATTCGGTTTAATTGAGAAGTGTCTGCGGTTAACCACAATGTTCTAATTGGGATCACTACGTTAACCAGCAGCACACTCCTCTCTTGGGTGGCCGTTCGTTCGGCAGGTTTGTTCGGGGAAAAAAGTCATTTGAATGGCTGGGCTATAGAAACCAGCCATTCATACGAACGGGAAACAAACAGACGAATGCAAGCAGACAGATGGTTCTGTCACACGGCTCCCTCCTTGTGGGACACTCCGGCAGACCCGGCTTGACCCTGTGGCGGGTCAATTTGGGGATGACCGGACTAAGAGGTGGTGGAAACGTCTGTTTGTCGTGACAACCCATCTGCATTCCCGATCAGCTTACCGGGTCTGTAACTGATGGTAAAATTGTAGGGCTGTGTGACGAAGTGCCCTTCGCCACTTGGTCCTGGAGAGGCCTACTTGCCAGCCTCCTCCCCTGTGACTATGACTCTTTCATCTATCTGGCTTTAAAGCCCCTAGTCTACCTTCAGACAGACTATTTATGTGGGCTGCTTTATTTATCCTATGTTTTAGTCACCCTGTACCCATTATAGGTGCAGGGTGTGTGTAATGTAATTGTTTATAGTGTGTGTGTGTGTACTGTGTAATGTATTGCCTGCTCTCTTGTATTGCTGAGGTTTGCTACCAACTAGGTGGGTTTGGCTATGGAGCTGGTCTAGTGCCCTCTGTTGGTAGCAACAGCAATATGCACTACCTGAATTGCAAGACTGGTTCATTTGCATATTCGGGTAGATTTGCATATTGCTAATTCTGCAGGCAGGTGAGATATTTACTGTTAAATATTGTCTCCCCCCACCCCTTTAAAAATGTGCCATTGTGTTGTGATAAGTCACTGTGTGTTTCTTGATATGGTTTGACTGTTTGTGATTTTATTGAGGTTTCACAACAATGTTATTGTGGTGACTGTATTGGCTGGTCCCAAGGGAATAAAGGTTTTGACAGTTCTTCTTGATCCCTCTAAACGTAGCCTTGTCTCGTTATTGGAGGGAGCTGTTCTAATCACACTGGGGATTGCTATGCTCTGCATGCTCCCCTGAGCTTGAGTCACTTAGCTCTTTTAAGAGCTTGTTCCTGACACGCTCTCCTTGGAGGAGGGGTCTTCACCACACAGTCCTGGATGCTCGAGGTTTATACAGGGTGGAAGGAAGAGTTCTTTCCCACACAGTCCTGGAGGACAGAAGCTGATCCAGGGTGGAAGGAAGACGGCGAGACTCCAGTCAAGATACGGTGGTTGCGGAGTCTGCGGTGGTTGTGGTGTCTGCTGCAGCGCTTGGAGTCCTCAGGAAGCGTTAGGAGCATCCGTCAACGGAGGGTACTCAGTCGGAGTACAAGGAGCTCCGTTACAGGCTGTAATGCCAAGCTCCACCTCAGCAGTCTCCCATTGTCTCCTGAGACCCAGTTAAGCCAAACAAGTTCGTTGTGGTCAGTCACCAGGGAAAACTCTTGCCCATATAAATAGGGGCTTAACTTTTTCAATGCCCAGACCAAGGCCAAGCATTCCTTCTCCACTGCCGCATAACTCACTTCTCTGGGTAACAACTTTCTGCTGAGATATGCGACAGGGTGCTCTCCTCCATCTTCCCCGACTTGGCTCAGCACAGCCCCCAGTCCATACATGGAAGCATCTGTATGGACGAGAAAGCGTTTGTTAGGGACTGGGGCAGCCAAGACAGGGGCATTCATAAGAGCCTGCTTCAGTGCCTGGAACGCAGCTTCACAAGCCGGAGACCACAGGACCTGCTTAGGCAAGTTTTTCTTGGTCAGGTCTGTCAGGGGCTTAGCAATAGCGCTGTAGTCAGGGACAAAACGTCTGTGTGGTGTATCACCAAATTAATATATATATTACACAAGGTTCGTCTACATTAAAAGGTATTTATTAAAAGGCAACAACACAATACTATAAATGTATCACAAACACACAGCCCAGACCCACGGAGCAACAACCCTTTTTAAATCTATCTATCTATATAGTAACCCCTTCCACACATGCTTGATCTCACCCACGGTTAGGCCTTCACATCTAGTAATGGCTCACTGCTGCAAGTTCAACATCACATCCACCAAGGAAGAAAAGGAAGCAACAGAGAGTAACATGGTTCACCATGCTAGCACATGGTGTCTGCACATCTGCTCTGCAGCACAGCCAAGAAGGAACAGAGAGGAAAGGAGAAAAGGGGGAAGTGGTTATCTCTTTCCTGACTTGTAAAGGTATTGAATTACCAATTAACATTTCAAAAGGGTAAAGCTTATCCCACTGTAACAAAAGCAAACATGAGCTTGGTCACATGACCCCTGGTCACCATATTAGTTTGATGACAGAATGTCACCACAGTCTGTAGTACCCTGCTGTCCCCAAGAAGGCCAATACTTGGGTCTTACTGGTAGGTGTGGGCCAGTTAGCCACTGCCTCTATCTTGGCTGGCTCTGGTCTCTGGCTCCCATACCCCACTCTGTGACCCAGATATTGTACTTCAGCCATACCTAGATGGCACTTCTCTGGCTTCAATGTTAGGCCAGCGGGCTGAATTTTATCCAGCACTACCCCTACATGTACCAGGTGTTCCTCCCAGGACCCACTGTAAATTGCAATGTTGTCCAAGTATGCACAGGCAAATTCTTGGAAGCCATCCAGGAGTCTATCCACCATCCGTTGGAAGGTAGCCGGTGCATTTTTCATCCCAAAAGGCATGACATTAAATTGGTACAGGCCAAATGGAGTGACAAATGCCAACTTGGGGATAGCATCCTCTGCCAGGGGGATCTGCCAGTAGCCCTTACACAGGTCTATGGTGGTCAGATATCGCCCCCTGGCAATACGATCCATAATTCATCTACCCGGGGCATTGGGTAGGCGTCAGTGGTGGTCCGCTCGTTGAGTCGCCTGTAGTCCACACAGAACCGGGTGGTCCCATCTTTCTTGGGCACCAGGACTACAGGCGAGGCCCAAGGGCTCTCGGAGTGCTCGATGACCCCAAGCTGAGTCATCTCCTGTATCTCCTTCCGCATTCCTTCACGGACTGCTTCAGGGATACGATAGGGGGGCTGTCGTAGGGGGGTCTGTCCAGGGGTCTCTACCTTATGCACAGCTAGGGTGGTATAACCTGGTTCCTGGGAGAACGTCGCCTGCTTCTCCCATAACAATTGCTGCGCCTGTACCCTTTCCGTGGGGTTCAACCGGTCCCCTAGCTGTACCAAGGTAGTAAGGTCAGTCTGGGAATCCCTTTCTAATAGATCTGGAAGGGGTAAATTCTCAGAATCATCTGCGGCTGGGGCACATACTGCTGCAATATTCTCAGGTCTCTCCAGGTACTCTTTCAGCATGTTCACATGAAAGGATCGCTGGATCCTTTCATCTGCACAGCTGGCTATTAAGTAAGTAGTGTCGCAGATCTGCGCCACTACTTTATACGGGCCCTGCCAAGATGCTTGCATCTTGTTGGCCTTCACGGGTTTGAGCACCAATACCTTTTGCCCAACCTGGAAGACCCGCTGTCGGGCACCCTGATCGTACGATCAGGGTGCCCGACAGCGGGTCTTCCAGGTTGGGCAAAAGGTATTGGTGCTCAAAGCATCTTTTCTGTCTCCCCTGGGCCGCCTGGAGATTCTCCCTTACCATCAGGGACAGTTTCTCCATGTGGTCCCGGAGTTCCAGAACATATGGCGCTATGGGGGTCCCCTCTTGCTCTGTCTCCCCCTCCCAGTGGCCTCTAATGAGATCTAGGGGTCCGCGGACCCTTCTCCCATACAGCAGCTCAAAGGGGGAGAACCCAGTAGATTCCTGGGGCACCTCTCTATAGGAAAATAATAGATAAGGCAGGAATCTCTCCCAGTCTCTGCAAGTGTCTGTAAAGGTCCTCAGCATCTGTTTGAGGGACCTGTTTGAGGGAGTTAAAGCGCTCGCAGAGACCGTTAGTCTGTGGGTGGTAGGGTGAGCTAAGTAACGGCTTAATGCCACACACCTTCCACAGCTGCTGGGTGAGCACAGCGGTGAATTGGGTTCCCTGGTCGGAGAGAATCTCCTTAGGAAACCCGACCCTAGTAAAAATTCTAACCAGGGCATCAGCAACCGCCTCTGCCTCTATATTAGACTGCACTACTGCCCCTGGATAGCGAGTGGCATAGTCCACCACGGTAAGAACGTATTTCTTACCTGATGGACTAGCCCTGGCCAGTGGACCCACAATGTCAACGGCTATGCGGGCAAAGGGCTCCCCTATAATAGGCATCGATTACAGCCTAGCCTTATGGTGGTCCCCCCGCTTTCCTACCCGTTGACATGTGTCACACGTACTGCAATACATCCGCACAGCCTGGTTAAAGTTGGGCCAAAAGAAATTCTGTGAGATCCTATAGGCTGTGCGGCGGGACCCTAGATGTCCAGCTAATGGAACATCATGCCCTATCCGCAGAATCTCCTGCCGGTACTTGGCAGGTACCACTAACTGGCGATTCGGCGGAGAGGCAACACTCTTCTGGGAAGGCTTAGGGATCCTATACAGCCTGTCCCCCACCCACTCATACCGTTCCCCATCTATTCCTTCCTCTCCAGCATCTGCCCTGTCTTTGTACTTTAGGAGTGTCAGATCTGCCCGGGTTTCCCTCCCAAACTCCTCTGGGGAATCCCAGCTTAAGGGAACCTGATCTGGGGTACCGGGTCGGGGAAGGAGATCTTATCTGGGTCTCATCAGCAGGTGGGCTGGTTCCGGCAGCACAGGTCTGGGCACGGGTGGTCACTGGGTTCACATCTGCAGGGCCCATCGGAGCATAGGCTGAAACCAAAGGGGCCCAGAACGACATCTGCGGGCAAGTCTTTCATCACCCCCACATCCACGTGTCTAGCGCCCACTCCCCAATCCAAATGTACTCGGGCAACAGGTAAGCGAAACACAGCACCCCCTGCTACCCTTACTGCCACAGTGTCCCCAGTGTGCTGATGCTCTGAGACCAAGTTCTTTTGGAGTAGTGTCATCGTGGCTCCTGTGTCTCTCAGCCTATTTACCACTCGGCCATTCAGCTTCACGGTTTGCCGATGTTGCTGGCGATTATCCTGGTGAGCTGCTTGCACTGGGTCTGCCTCGTGTAAGATGCCCCAGAACTCCTCCTGTTCTATGCAGTGAGCAGCAGGCTGGGGCGGCCGCTGGTTCCCACTGGCTGGTCTCCTCCAGGACTGTGCTTGATTGGCATTGTTCAATGGGCACTCGGGACGCTTGTGCCCCAACTGCTTGCACCCAAAGCACCGGATGGGTTGAGAATAATCCCGGGCATTAAATCGGGCTGGCTGCACAAAATTGTTAGCTGGCGGTGCGGCTGGGGTACGGTGTACTGGGGGTTGGTAGGCTGAAGGAGCGGGTATTACTGCTGGTCGATACTCCGGTCTGGCAGGGGCTTTAGCAGCCGTACCATCCAACTTGCGGGCATCCGTGTATTTGTCTGCCAGACGGGCAGCCTCGGGTAGGGTAGAGGGTTTTCTATCTCTGACCCACTCCCGGACCCCAGCAGGTAGTCTATCAAAACAGTGCTCCAGCAGGAACACTTGTAACACCTCTTCCCCAGTTACCGCTTGGCATCCTGCCATCCAGTGGGCTGCGGTACGATGAACTCTGCTTATTGGTTTCTCTAAACCTCCGCCTGTACGCTTCTGGGGTCACCGCATACCTGGCTAGGAGTGCATCCTTCACAGCCCGGTAGCTGGTGATCTCCTCCTCTGGGATGGCCCGAAACGCTTCACTAGCCCGGCCGGATAATTTCCCAGAGAGGATGGTGACCCATTCATCTGCGGGTACCTGGTTTAGAGCACACTGCCTCTCGAAGTCCGCCAGGAACCCATCAATCTCTCCCTCAGTTTCCACAAAATTTTTAAATGCAGCAAAGGGTACCTTCTTTCTTGCAAAAACATTATTATTGTATGGTACCTCTGCTGCTGCAGCTCCTCTTTCCCGGAGCGCCTGGTGTGCTGCTACTGCTGCCTGCACACGCTCCACGATGTCAGCTGAGGGGTTGGGGCCAAAATGTGCCAGCCTTATTTGCACTGCCCGGTTAAATTGTAATTCCTCGGGTGTTAAATCCAAGGTACTGGGCACATTGACTCTCTCCGTTCCCGGTGCTGCATCCATCTCCAGTAGCAAAGCAATAATCTCCCGTTTCTTTAAATTGCTTGCTGACCTTCCTCGGCGTTCCAATATGTCCTTAAGTGTAGCACACCTTAATTCCTTGTACTGCATGTTTTGTAGCTGACCTCCAATGCTGTGGGATTCATCCCGTCGCTTGCCACCAATTGTTAAGACACCTCCTGTGTCTTTAGGTAAAACCGCCATTTAGTAGACCTTCCCCATCTGCAGTAACAGCCTCCGTTTGCTTAACCTTTAGTGCACAAACCAAATGCAGGGGAAGCGGCAATCTCCCGAACGGCAATACACGAACTGCTGCCAGCCGCCGAACAACAATATTCACCAAGCGGCTTCCGTTCCATCCAGCAGTCTCTAAACGTGAAGAAGAAATCCCCCCAATAACGAGACAGAAGCTCCGCATTGAGGGTCAAACAGGATCTGGCTTTACTGTGGGCTACCTGCCTGTATTTATGCAGGTCTCCCACCTGGTGGACACTCCCCTAGGGGACCAAATGGGAGACTTAAATGACAGACAGATAGGGGGACATTTCAGACACACAGTCACAGATTTTACCCACAGTGCATTATGATTCCCTCCCCTCTGCCCTGGAGTTAATTACCAAGTAACTCAATTAACTCCAGGACAAAGCCAGTCGCCATCTTAGACATAAAATAATAAAAGACATAAAAATATATAACTACACAAAAACCGAACATTTCCCATTCGTATCACCTATCCCCAGATAGCCTGGATCTGAGTGCATATTATTAGCGAATAGCGCTCAGATCCCACACACATAGTTCAATCGCCATGGAGTCAAAGTTCTTACAGTCTTTCGGTATACGAATGACTCCATGGGAAGGCTATCTGGATTAAGTCTTTTCGTATGCTCCAAATCTCCCGAACGGCCGGTGTTCGCATGCTTTCGTGGAGGCAGCCAGGCGTTCCGTTGTTTCAGCGGTGTTTCGGTAGAAAAAGTGTCAGTTTTTAGTTCCATAGAAATAGAGCCGAACACCGCTGGGCTTTTGCTTGGTTTAAAATGGCCGCTGCCTCGTGGTCGTCATACAAACGACGACAACCCTGAATTCGGTTTAATTGAGAAGTGTCTGCGGTTAACCACAACGTTCTAATTGGGATCACTACGTTAACCAGCAGCACACTCCTCTCTTGGGTGGCCGTTCGTTCGGCAGGTTTGTTCGGGAAAAAAGAGTAATTCGAATGGCTGGGCTATAAAAAACAGCCATTCATACGAACGGAAACAAACAGACAAATGCAAGCAGACAGATGGTTCTGTCACAGATACGGTCTCCAGTACTGTGTACAATACTCCAAGTGAGGTCTCACCAGTGTTCTGTACAATGGCATGAGCACTTCCCTCTTTCTACTGCTAATACCTCTCCCTATACAACCAAGTATTCTGCTAGCATTTCCTGCTGCTCTATTGCATTGTCTGCCTACCTTTAAGTCATCAGAAATAATCACCCCTAAATACCTTTCCTCATATGTTGAGGTTAGAACTCTATCAAATATTCTGCACTCTGCCCTTGGGTTTTTACGTCCAAGATGCATTATCTTGCACTTATCCACATTAAATGTCAGTTGCCACAATTTTGACCATTTTTCTAGTTTACCTAAATCATTTGCCATTTGGCTTATCCCTCCTGGAACATCAACCCTGTTATATATCTTAGTATCATCAGCAAAAAGACATACCTTATCATCAAGAGCTTCTGCAATATCACTAATAAAAATATTAAAGAAAATGGGTCCAAGTACAGATCCCTGAGGTACCCCACTGGTGACAAGTCCAAGCTTCGAATATATTTCATTAACTACAACCCTCTGTTGCCTGTCACTCAGCCACTGCCTTACCCATTCAACAATATTGGAATCCAAACTTAAAGATTGCAGTTTAATGATAAGCCTTCTATGTGCAACAGTGTCAAAAGCCTTACTGAAATCTAGGTAAGCAATGTCTACTGCACCACCCTGATCTATAATTTTAGTTACCCAATCAAAAAAATCAATAAGATTAGTTTGGCATGATCTCCCTGAAGTAAATCCATGTTGTCTCTGATCTTGAAATCCATGTGTTTTTAGATGTTCAACAATCCTATCCTTTAACATGGTTTCCATCACTTTCCCCACTACTGAAGTAAGGCTTACTGGCCTATAGTTGCCCGACTCCACCCTATTACCTTTCTTGTAAATGGGAACAACATTCGCTAACTTCCAATCTTCTGGGACTACTCCTGTTAACAATGATTGGTTAAATAAATCTGTTAATGGTTTTGCTAGTACACCACTAAGCTCTTTAATAGCTTTGGGTGTATTCCATCAGGTCCCATTGACTTATTTGTCTTTTTTTGTCTCATTTATCCTTTTTCTCAACTGAGGTCCTATTCCTTCATTTTCACCTGTAAATAAAGAACAAAAATATTAATTGAGGCAGTCAGCTAGACCTTTATCCTCTTCTACATACCTTCCTTCTTTTGTTTTTAATCTAACTAATCCTTGTTTTACTTTTCTTTTCTCATTTATGTATCTACAAAATGTTTTGTCCCCCTTTTTTACTGACTGTGCTATTTTCTCTTCTGTGTGTGATTTGGAAGCTCTTATAACTTGCTTAGCCTCTTTCTGCTTAATCTTATAGATCATTTTGTATTCCTCACTCTGGGTTTTTTTTATAATTCCTAAATGCTAACTGTAACGGATCACCTGGCACCCCGACTGGGTACCTCCGTTGAAAGATGCTCCTAGCGCTTCCAGAGGACTCCAAGCACTCCACCAGACACCATAAGCACCGCAGGCTGCAGCTATCTCCCTTCAGAACGAAGCAGGAACAAGCTCTTACAAGAGCTCAGTGATTATAGCAAGGGAATATGCCTAGCATAGCAATCCCTTGTAGCAGATTCCCCCAATAAGAGACAGGACTCAAGTTGAGGGTAAAAATAGAACTCTCTGGCTGCTAGCTTGCAGCCCTT